AACGACATCTTTTGTATATGAATTTTTTGAAATTTAATAAAGGATACACACATTTAGGTTTCACTAATTACAAATAATTTTGACCTATTACAAAGGTGTTTCACAAAAAATGCATCATCAAAGTCTAGATGAGGATACCGTGGATAGAGAAGGGTAGAAATGACGAGTTATCAGAAAGAAAAGGAGAATCTCAGGCATGAAGGCCTAGTTAGAGATATATTAAAAGCAGAAACAGGAGTTAAGAGGAGCAGAAGTAGAACCAAATCTGATTACTATTCATAAATATAGGGTTGTTCGGAAAGTCATTTCGTTTTTTCCCGACAGAGGATTTAATTGTATTCTTTTGCACCCAACTTCACATTTAAGCAAACTAATTTTCTTTCGATATTTTTTCCTACTTTCAAATACCTTGTTTAGATACTATTTTGTAGCTAAAAGGTCAATTTAATGCGTTAGAGGAAGGGTCAATTTTTGCAAGGGTAAATTGTGGAGTTTTCACAACTCTCTCAACTATCGAAACTATTTTCTTTAAAAACCAAGAAGAATTATTAAAAAAAGCCCTAAGTATCAGACTAAATAAACAAGACCAGGGCTTAATACGCAATTCCAGTACCAAGACTAGAAGTATTTAAGCCAGACATTTAGGTACTTACTTAGCTGTTAACATCAGTTCTCTGTAAGATAATAATTTGATCATAAATTTCTTTATAACGGAATGAGTTGACAAATTAATACATTATAAAAAAAATATCTTACTAATCGAGCTTAAGAAAGGAATTATTGAGCAGTACCAACTGTAATAAAATGACCAAGGTGACTATCATGAAGGTTGTGTTTTCTGTCTGCTGTTTACGTAAGAATGACGTAAGTTCTGAAAACCCCGAAAAATCGATGCCCAGGAATGCACCGGTGCCGGTGGTGAAAAAAGCGCCACTGTATTGAAATCTATTTTTATACAGCGTCCATTCATAAACCCAGCGTCCCTTAACCATACACAAACATACATAATTAAATGACGATGACGTGCTTTCTTTAAATAGCTCTCCAATGTCCAAGCACACTATTTTTTCTAAGCATTAAATTATCTTTTTTTCACATCGTAAATTNACTGAATGATGCACTTCAACAGAAAAGGTCAGAACTAATCAACAGGAAAGGTGTAGTGTTTCACCAAGACAACGCGAGACCTCACACAAGTTTGGTCACTCGCCAAAAGCTTTTACAGCTTGAATGGGATACAATCCTACACCCACCATATTCTCCAGACCTGGCACCATCGGATTATTATTTGTTCCGGTCACTCCAAAATTTTTTAGACGGTAAAACCTTCACCTCAAATGAAGAGGTCAAAAACCTCCTCGATCAGTTTTTTGCCAGCAAAGACCAAAAATTTTATGAGCGTGGAATTATGCTACTACCAGAAAGATGGCAAAAGGTGTTGGACCAAAACGGTCAATATATAATTTAATAAAGTATTTGTTTATTATACGAAAACTGTCGTTCATTTCCACAAAAAAAAACGAAATGACTTTCCGAACAACCCTATAGTTAAAGATATATGTTCTAGCTTTAGGGAAATGCAAAGATTAATTTAGTTTAGGAAAAAGTGGAGGTGCCTGTCTACCCAATCAGGACCGACGACCTTATGATGATGATGGCATAGTCTAGATGGTGTTTCTGAACCTTCGTACCTATTTAGGAAATATGACAGCTCAGTAACCAGAGATCCTATTAATAAGTAATCGCTTTATACCTACACTAATACTTGTAGTTTTATCAAGTATTATACAAACATACGATCTTATCACTTCCCATGATGTACCTGCAGGCACTCACTCCGGAATCGGAGTTTAAAACTATTGTTTAGTGATATGATCTAAGTACGCACTAAGTCGGAATCAATTTTGAGAATCCGTACATATTTAACTGAAAATCGATTACCTACCCTTCAATATGCATGGATATTATTAATTTCTACAACAAAAATAGAATACAATCCTTTCGACAAGTATAAATCAATATTATCCCAAAAATAGATCGACATCGATACAATGATAGTAGGAAATGAAATACTTGTCATTAGATACCAAAAGGTACGTGGTACATTTAGAATTGTCTTCAACAGTCAATAAAAAAATATTAATTTCGCTTCAGTTCTAGTCATTTTACCATCACTTTTAGATCAGGAAATGAACTTAAAGATATTAGTTACTTATTATTGGTCATTGATGTTTTCGTATTACATTCGTATTGCGTTTTCTGTAAAATTTCAAAATCGAAGACCTAACCTGTTACGTTGTTGCAGCGATGCTAATGTTTTATGCAGCGTTAGCTTGCAATTCAATTTTCTGATCGTTTCGTTATAACAAAGTATTGATGTAATGAATATTTCAGTAACGTACAACATAAAATGGCATTTGTTCATTCGTAAAGGTGAATCTAAAAAGCGAGAAATCAAGAAATCCAATATTAAAAACTGACCTTGACTGAATGTCGTAGATTGAAAGCAAATTATTAATCCAGTAATACCATTAGTTGCAACAGAAATAGAACCCGGTTTGTTTGAATTCCTTGACTTTACTCGTTTAAACTCGCAATGACATACAGGATGTACGTTCTATCCGGAAATCGCTACGTAGATCGTTAAAATATAACTCGATAACAAATTTTAAATTTATGCGAACTACATTATAAATCAATCAATTATGAGGCAAATCATAACTTGCTAATATACACTTGCCTATTTGGAAGAAAAAGGATGTTAAAGTATTCACGGTCAAAGTCAGTCAAGTTAAAAACGGAATTTGAAGGTACTCTCTAAATAGCAAACCGGATTGTAAAAGATACAGAAAGTTCGACATCCTTTTCTCAAAATCATTAAAACTACGATAGCAAGCCATCATTGATGTAGAACAAGCAATTTACAAAATACTACGTGCGAATTGCGATAAACAATATGTATGTAGGCCAAACTAAAGAATCGGTTAAAATTAGACTGGAAGAACATACGGAATATTATTATCATCATTTAGATAGGTGAATTTAATGAAAGAGTTTTGAAGTAGTGCAAAGAGACATGAAGGTCTAAGAATAAAGGAATAATTATTACAATGTAATTTAGAATAAAAAACTTGAATCAAAAGGACCTTCCAGTTGCTGGGCGGATTTAGGTATATGATAAGAAAAGCATTGAACCTTTTTCCGCCAAATTTATTCAATTTTACGCACGAGTACCTGACTGTTTATCCGTTGGTAATATTTTTAGCTCCTGAATTTAAAATTACTTTAACTTTCAACGAAATTTGAATATTAGAGCGGCGGTGGTGTATTAAGTGCGACACTTTCACAGAATACCAACATTTGTTATTGGAACAATTTTAAAATTCTCTCCTAGCGCCCGTTCTAAATTTTCAGAATTATTTGGCATTAATTTTACATTAAAATTAAAGCACGTTTACTTTAATTATTTTTACAATCCAAAGATTTGTAGGCATTTGTTCTCATTACTGATGATGTTTTATTCGAGTTTTTCAAACTTGTAAAATTATCAACAAAATGGGTTTAGGAATAAATTGGCTTTAAAAAACACCTGGAAGATGTATAATTATTATTTCTGTATATGATTTATAAAGCAGTACTGCCAAATTATTGTACGTAACGTGGTTCTTAATTTTTTTATATTTATTGAACCTAGGAGCACTGTAGATAGCTAAAATCCCTTCGTAAGCAAGAAAAAGTGGCTTGGTAAACAACTAAGGGAGTAATTAGGGCACTTGATTAACGAATTACTTCATAAAAGTGCTTTGTAATTGGTAATTAAAAGGATTTCACTGTCTAAAATTCTTGAAGCAGTTTCAAATTTAATTGATAATTTGAAATTCCGCATTTTGTCCGAAGATCCTCTCTTCGTGTGTTACAGAATTTAGAATCTAACTTTCATAATTATTGTTATTTTGACATTTCTATTCTCTCTCCAGGTACTAGTTTACATTTATATTCTACTTCTCTCCTATTTTTACCCGCTTTATATTCAGTTTGGAATAGCAATAATACTTCAACTTATTTTATAATAACCCATTTTCCATTGACGCTTTTCCGAAACGTTGAAAGCAAAAAGGGGATGCTTGCCAAAACTGTCACTGTTTTTAAAATTTGGCAAATACATTAATTCACAAAACATCTTGTGGAATAAATGCAAATTCGTACGGCAACCATTGTCGTCAATTGAGCGTTATTTTTAAACGCGTATTTCCACTGTGAGACTACGTTATTAGGAGTGCTTTAATAAATTTCAAAACGTATAAATTGCACCCATGCGATGTTTGTATACATATTCTCGACTTCAATATTTCATTCATGAAAACTGCTTAGTGCTATAGCAGTGAGTGTAGAAAGGCTTTAATGTTCCAAATTCCACACTGCCAGACTGATGGTTAATGTGACACCATGCAAATTTAATCTAATCTTACATGTACCATATACAGGGCGTTTTATCATATTATATTATTAGGCAAAATGTAAGGAAGAGGATCCATGAGGATTCTTATTGTTGACACAAAAGCAGATAGCATTCAACATGGTCCTTCGAGCCGGATTCAGCGGAAAACAAAAGTAACATTAATTTCGATCTCAATGTAAAAGCTCCATCTTATCGATTACAGACGAACACATCAAGTTCATCAACATCATTTGAATCATGTTGAATGCTACGGGTATGTTCCTTGGACCTAATAAACAGCATAATTTGCTCATATATCCAAATGAACAGAAGTGATGAGTGAAGCGAGTCTTCGCGTAAAACTTCTTTCGTGTACATGTAATATCTACCTCAAAGAAGACGTATCTAACATTTGTTTATGAAATGAACTTATTCAAAGGAATTCGGTTACCAAAAATAACAACAATAATTTATGCGCTTGTCAGAAATAAGGTAGAACAGTAGCGATACTATCAGATGCATTTGAATACAATTTTAATCGGAATTTTTATTGTTTTTCCAGCATCGTGATTGATGACTTCGACTCATCGAAACATCCCAACAACACGGAAGTTCCAGAAACAGGCACGACCGTATCTGCCGTTCATCAACACCAACCCACCTCTATAAACATGCAAAGGTCTTATAATAATAGACTGTCAACAAACGATTCTATTAGGAGCATCTTGGTACGTATATGAACCGCGCAAACAAATTAGCAAAACAGGCGCCTACTTAAATAAAATTTACAACTGAGCGCTTACGAAAGATTAATTACACGATATAAATACGTAGATGCCTTTCTACTCTTATTATTTAATGTTATTTTGATAAATTTATGAGTATTTTATCGCAATAGGTATATAAATTATCCTTTGACTTTTGACTCAATAGAACTTACTTCTCAAGTTCCTACCAAGAAGTTTTTAGTTATTTTATATGCCTTTATTGTTACAGGAAGAAGCTGAAAGACGAAAACACGAATTTTGGAAGTTGATTGAAGAACATAACGCTCTTATCCAGTATTTGAAAAGGATAGAACAGCTCGAGCACAACAATTCACTCAGAAAGACGGCAGCAATTAGTACCTGAATTATAGGGGAAAATCATTCATTATTTAAATATTTGGTTAAGACTGCAACATGGGAAAGACACACTTTGATAAGGGCTTTTATTGATAAATTAACATCTAAAAGAATGGAAAAAATAACTGAANTTAATACATAATAATATTATTAATTAGAAAGCGAAAAGGCATTGCTCAAATTACAATAAAAATACCATTTCCAGTTTTCTTCTATTATAAGACTTAAATTATTATTAAATTATTCTGTCATGAAATATAAAAGGCTTGGCCCTATTGGAATAAAATAAGCAAAAACATCAAAATTTAGTCACTTGTATGAACATGTCCTGTGCATAACATGTGCTATAGTTAGGACGAACAAAATTGGCATAGTTTCCAATAAATCTGTGTTAAGTTAAGTTAGGAAATTTTTCATGAGTAGTGCAGACAAAATGAAAAGAGATAACTGAATAATAGTAAGAGGTGCAGCGATTAGAGGTTGCTTATGTATGCAAAAGATCAGGGTCGGCTTTATAACTGCCTGTGTGGAATTATATCTTTAAACAGGCATCTCTGCTACCCTAAATTCCTTAATAGTGCCCGCTGCAATTCCTACCTGGCATCTCTTTTCAATGCTTACGATATTCTCTCCTACAACGTCTGTCATAAGTAAAAGTAGGCGTTCTGACAGCTGCGATTTTAGTCTAGTTATTAAGTTAAAAGAAGAAAGTTTTATTGCGTCCTATGTCAATATTAAACGTTCCAACTATATCACGAAGCGTGCTATAGAAAAGCTTCCTTAGAATTAGAAATAAAATTATAGACTGCCATATTTGTACAGGGAAATGGAAGTGATAGAAATTAGAATGCCAAAATGTACCAAGCTTTTCGTTTAGTAAATTATCTAATAACTACATAGGAAAACACCAAAATGGTGCTCTACCCATAAATTACTGAATTTTATCCACTCAAGACAACACCAAAGTAATATTCATAAACATACATCAATAGTAATTACTTTTCTGTATTTTGTTCACATCGAGATAAGGTCTTTCTAACGTAATTTGAACTAGAAGAAATTAAATTGTAAACTTCCTTCCTACGGTCGATGAAGAAGTTTGACTTCAAAAAGCAACTGCAAATATCACTACAGTTGCATTTGCATACGGTACAAGATTAAAAATGCCCTTCCTGTGATGCGTCAGAAACTTTTTTTGTCGATACCAAGTATCTACTTTTGGTATCGATTCTTTTAAACTAAGTAATGGGTGCAGATGTCAACAGAAAATACTTTTTTACATTCATGAAAGTTTCTTTAATTGTCTAACAGTTAGAAATCGTCAGCTTTTCATTCGCCCATTTTAGTTCTTGAATTTTAATTTAAACCTCATGTAACTATCATGGGCGTTGCAAGTTGAAACATGTAAATTTCCAAGTACTTAGTACTAGTGTATTATTTCATAACCCAATACAAGTCAAAAAATATCTATACAAATATTGGTAAGTACCTATCGGTACATTCTTTCGATACCTACACGGAATCCTTTTATCCTTTACTGAAACCGAATTGTTCCCGTTGGTGAGTCTGACGCATGCGGTTGATACATGCCTTAAGCAGTGAATGCGCCAGCGCTCTTTCAAGATCAGTAGAGTCGCGAACGCATAGAGCATGTTGCGTGTGTCGGTGTGGTGTTTCAATGTGAATGGTATGATTAATTTTATTCCTATTGTTAAGAAAACTGACCAGTTTGTTGCCAACCGTTACGCATGATTGACGCACACGAAAGGACGCTGTATGATGTAACTGACGCATTATAGGAAACGCACCATAAAATACAGGTTAGACTACGTTAGTTAAGTACAAAATAAACTTAAACAAATATTTAAAATACTGAACGTAAAAAATGTATTGATGATATCTTTAAAAGTAGACGATATTGGCCTTTTCTCGATGTGGAAAACGTTTTCCGGAAGTAGAATTCATTATTGCTGAGATGAATTTGGGAAAACTGTTTTTTTATATATATGTGAAATAAATAGATAATATTGTAATATATGACTGTAGGATTGTAAAGAAAGTAATAGCAACAAAGTGCTTTTAGTTATCCAGGAATTATAATAATTAGAATATACATAATACATATATTTACCTACTTAATGGTAACAGTGGTATTAATATTTATAATTTAGATGCAATATACATATTATACAATACACTCATACTCTTATAGGGACTCGTACATAATGTGACAATATTATTCATATCAGGGTATTCACAATTGCAAATACTTATATTACCCCGAAACGATTTTTTTAGCAAATATCCATAGCTGTACCTGTTCACTTACGTATTCAACGATCACTTATTTATCTTTAGGCATAGCAGAACTAAACGATAAAAAATCCAATAATGAAAATTGTCGTTCAGCAATTTCTTTTTATTAATTTAGTTGATATTGCATAACTACCAATTGAAAAAAAAAACAAAGAAACAAAAAACAAAATCGATATCTACTGAGGAAGTAGAGTATACAGTATTTGCCAAGAATGCATACGTTATAGGTACACGCTATATACTCCTAAAAGCCACTTGTATAGTTCTCTGCAAACGCTGTATGTTTCTTACATTAAATATATTCGTTAACTGAAAAAAAATAACTGTTAAAAAAAATATTGTACGTAAATATTTTTGTTGGAAGCATCGCTCAGTGGTATGTATCTATAACGAAAAATAAAATAAAAGTATTTTAAAACCGAAATAAATGGTTTTTCTCCGTCTGATATGACGGTGGAGGTTTTTAT